AAAGTGATACCTGTAATGAAACGACTGTATACTGAAGAAAAGAGCTATATCGTATGTAATCGTTGACGAATCGTTAATGCACAGTGGACGTAGCGATGATATTTTGTATCGAAAGTGCTCAGCAAAGGTCTCTACCGAACCATATTGACTCACTCACTGACTCGCTCACTCACTCTGTCACTCCAACCACTCACTACTCACTTACTACAGTATATATATGTTACGAATATGTGCTTTATATAGTTTAACAAAATAAATTATTTCAAAAATTTACATTCAACAGCTTTCACTTTCATTCGTCAATTCGCTTTTCGCAAAGGTAATACTACCGTAATTACGAAGAATAAGAAATTAGAACTAAAAAATTATATAATTATATTAAGTCTATTGATATTAAAAGTGATAAATAAAAATATAATCGAAAAAATAGAAGTAATAGAGAAAACTAAATTTATTTTTAAAAAATAATATACTTTATTTAACAAAATTGAACAAAAAAATATATATATACTTATAATTATATGTTCATAATTATATAATTTTTGCGCAATTTTCATAGGAGTGGGAGACCAACTGGACGTAATTTTATATTAAATGCAAGTATATTACATGTACTGCCGCATATTAAGTAGTGAAAAAAATCTTAAACTAACCGTAAATGTGCATTATTTTCGATTACAAAATAACGCCCACTTAAGAAATAAGTAAGTCTGTTATTGCTTTTGCTTCTTGTATCTCAAGAATGCTCTTCTTGTCGCGAATCATCTCTAATTCGCGTATTAAACTCATCGCAGCATCAATGCATTTATCGACCTCTTCCATAATAGTCGCGTTTGGAAATTCCACCCGTAAAAATGCAATATTATGTTCAGTTGGTTGACGGATCTGTAATCATCGATAATGTAAATCGATCTTCCATTAACGCTCGTTTTTATGCGTGTCTAGTCGCAAGAACAATCTCGCGACCATCGAAGCGCTTTATTTACCTGGCAAAGATTCTCACATTGACTTCGTCGGCGTTGCTCGACCACTCCAGTTCGATCAAACAATACATCAGAGATCCGTGTTCCTTCATCAAGAAAGTATCGTCGTAAATTTTTACGAAAGCCTTCGCGGTTAAGAAATAATAGATTTTTTTCTTCGCAAGCTCGTACAAATCGCATGGATCGTTTTCATCGTCCGAATTCTCTTCATTATCCTTCGAGAACCGAATTTTAACGATTTTCTCTGCGCTAGACGTACTTTTCAACGCCAGTATCGCATTAAGATTGTTCTCGTTTAAAAATTTCATGCACGAGCAATCGCTCATTTTGTCGATGGTGAGCTGAACGGGCGGTACTGGGATCTGAAATTGCGTCTCGCCAATCTCGTACGAGATCGTAGCCCAACACTCGCTGACGGAATTTCGATCGAACGTAGGTAGATCGAGCACTGTCGTTGCCACGACGCGAACCGTGCCAGGGTGGATCGAGTTGATTCTTTCCCAATGAAGAAACCGTTTCCAGAACATCGATTCACCGTAAATCTCCATCTCGTCCCGTACGTATGGATAATATCTGGGGTTAAGCAATGTGCTAAAAAAAAAAAAACTTACGTAACTGTATTCTGCATTATTTCGATTGAAAACGACGGGTTTTTTCGACAACAGTTCGATTAATTCGTACCTATATATGTTATATTTTAGTCAAATATTTTTCTCGCTGTTATAAAATAATCTGAGGTTTATTATGCGTAAATTGTAATACGCGCATTGAAATTTTAATATAAATTTTATATTAAATTATATCAGAATTTTCATTTTAATTTTTATGCCATTAAAATATGAAAATACCTATGTCAAAAAATTATAAATATCTGATCTACCATTCTATTAAACATTTAATTTTCATAAGATACTGTATAATAATAAGATACGATGATAAGATACATTATTTTTTAGATTTAATACTTGAATATTTTTTGCATATAATTATGTAATTATAATAAACTGTTTTTGCATCGAGATATGATGTGATTGAGGAATGTTTGGAGAAAGGTATCACGCACATTTTCTACAAAAGTAGATATTGACATCAAAGATAGGAAAGCTGCATCATTAGTTAGATTTTTTCAATATTAAACGTACAAATTTTTAAAAGCAGAAATAAAGTAGGTCGGAAAACATCTCTTGATTAAAACTCATCGACAATAATATGTTGTATGATATAATAAATTATTTGCATGATTCAGTGATAATGACACACGCATGACTTGATTTGAGCTTAATATATTCGATATTGCATGAAAAACTGTGATATTATATAAATATATAATAAATATATAATGTAACAACAGATAAATCCGTAATGTAAATGCAAATCAACGCGAGCTGACCGACGCAGTTCGCATTTTAATTTACCGCATTTAAATAACTTACGCTAATTATGCCGAGAAAATTCGTAAAAGAAATCGCACCCGACACATGTATTTAAACTGACAAATTTATTGCTCAAACTGATTAAGATCTCGAAGACAATCAAAGACTGACTGTCATTAGTCTATATATACTATGTAAAAAGAAGAAATAAATTGTTCCAACTTTTCTCATTCAGATAATTTAATTTTATCTGAATTTTTTGCCCAATTTTATATATTCAAAACTTTTATGAATTAATCTAAACAGCGTATTCAGAGCTTGCTTCTATTCTATTGTTCAAAAGTAATAAACTATTTCCTTTTTCAACGCATAATATAATAGAAACTTAACTATTCAATTAGGAGTATAGTTCAATTAGGAGTTAGGCTAATAAACTAATAAAGTGTAAATATCTTTCATATTAAAATTAAAATAAAATTGTCAGTTTTTTCTTCTTCATTGGTCTCATTTTCTTTATCAGTTTGTTTTCTATAAACACTTTTTTCCGATTTATTTTTTTTTCTATTCAGCTGCCTCGTTATAATGTTCTAATTACCGCTATTGTATAAAAAAAATAATAAACGGTTTTTTATTTTAAAAAATTTATTTTAAAAAAGTAAGAATTTAGGTCATGCACAGATTAAACGATCGCGATGTCAGCGGATATGCACACGAATTGACCTTGAATGTAACGCTTGCACCAACATTATTTATGCAGATCGACCCACGAACAAAGATACCAATCGTGATATTCCTGCAGAAGTCTAATAACGCAATATCGACATTAGTGAAATAATTTTATTATACGAGTACAAGTTGTTCTCTATATAATCTACCTATACTACTGATACAATCTATCTGAACTTTTTTCTTTTTTTTATTCTTTTTATAAAATACAGATTGCATGCTTTTTCTATATGTATATTCCTCTCTTCTTCCTCTCGTTATATATTATTTCTTTTTAATCACAATCACATTTAGATCAAATCAAAATGCGAAATTGAAAATTAATGTTTATTCGTATATACCAGGTCAGTAAATAGCATTTATTCTTTTTGTAAATATGTGTGAAAATGTTTCTATTTTCAACATTATTTTTTGCCATATAAATTTATGTCATCTGGAAGTTGTCTGCCATTAACATCTTGACGTAATCTGATAGAACCATCTTTTCGCTTCATCAACGCTGTTAAATCGAGTTGTCAAAAATTTCTTTAGAAATCGGACATCAGTAAATGAAAAAAATTTTAACAATATATAACGATTTAACAAGTCAGACGAGATAAAAAATAATTCTACAAAATTAGATCAAATATTAACAGTAGATTTCTTCGAGACTAAAAATAAGATATAAAAAAAAATATTAAAACCAAAAGACTTATTTATAGCTAATTAATATTTAACTTTTGTATTCATATTTTCTTTTAATCTTTCAATTTAGATTAAGAGATGAAGATATAAAAAATTTAAAAGTGACCCATAGAAATACAGTTTATGTTATTTTCCTAATTGCCTAATCAAGAAACGTTCATTATAAAATCGGGGCAATATTTCGTCATGGAAAATGGTAATATCAAATTGCAATTTTCGAATCCGCAATTTGTAATCGATCCACCGCGAATCACGAGTTACCGTTTCTGTTAGTAATTAAATTTCAATTTTAATTAATCGGTCTCCGACCAAGGCGTTCGCTCGCTTACGGCGGTTCGCAGCGAGTTTGCGCGAGAAATGTCCGGCGGCAAATCGACCCGCGAAAAAATCGACCAATCGACGGAAGCAGGCAAACCGCAGGTTCGACTTGGAGCATTTACATACCTCGGTACACGATTAAAATTCACTATTTTCATATTCACCATATTAACTTTCAAATAATTTCAATTTTACATTTATTTTCAATTTTCTTCATTTTATATACAATGGAATTTTTTAATTATTTTTATTCATACGTACACTAAAAAAAATTATTAAATTTATTTCAATACTGCCTAACAAATCATTTGTTTGAAACAAATATTTATCTCTGTTTCGAAAGGATTTTCTTATATCAAATAAATATTTTTCACATCAAATCAATATTTCAAATAAATAATTAATCAAACAGTATTGAAATAAATATTTATTCAATTTCATTTTAATTATGACGAAGTGATGATTTTACTCATTCTGTTTACATTTGAAATTATTTTTTATATATATTTTATATATAGATAAATTCAGTTCTTAGTATAAGAATTCAAAAAATGTAAGTATATAATATAAATTTATATTGTAATGGCCTAACTTATAACTTATAACAAATGAAACTGGTCAATTTCCCTTATCCGTCTATATGTATACGCATTTGCTCGATAATTTGAAAAATAATTTCAAATGTAAACAGAATGAGTAAAATCATCACTTCGTCATAATTAAAATGAAATTGAATAAATAAATTCGAATAAATTCGAAAGTTTCAAGAATGAAACCGAAGTGAAGATTTTCGAAGTCTCGAAAATGAAACGTCACATAACGCATCCCATCGCCCTAGATGGAGCACCCGAGAAAACCGGCCCTGGAAAGACGAGGCGGGTGGTAAGGTGTCGGGGACGCGAGCGTCGCGGCGCCCATGAAACGGCGGGCCGGTCAGTCGGTCGGTCGGTCTCGGGCCTGTCAGTGATCTGCACGATGCCGCCGTGATCGGAACGGCATCGCGTTTTCCTAGTGCGACACGCGCACGCATCACGTGGCACGCACACCCGCGCGTCCGACTGTCCTGCCTCCTGCGACGCGAGGATCACGTCCGACATCCCTCGCACGCGACGTTCCACAACCCCGGAGGAGAAACGACGCCCGACGACGAGGACGTCGACGACGACGACGACGACGATCACGCGCGACGACAAATGCGTCAGTGATCCCGCCGCCGGATATATGCCCGGAGAAGGTACGAGAAAAAAAAACACAGAAGATAACACGATTGACCTGGAGAGACGAATCTCTCCTCTGTGGAAGTTCCGGGATTAGAAAGGCTGCTATACCCGCTGACCCCGTGAACCCGTGCACTCGTTGCGAAACACGATCGCCTTCGCGAACGGCGAATTCACGATGTTAATCTGGGAGACGACGCTTTTCGCGATAACATTATACTCGTTTGGGGATGCGATGGGAACGTTCGATACGATAAGAGTTGTATATATTTAACGTAGAGTGATAACGTTAATTCAAAATGTAAATTTCCATGACGTTCGCATGGTTGCTTCGCAAAACGTCAAGTTTTTACGTGTTCAAGATATACGCATTATAACAACAAAGCTACTAATAGAACCGTGTCATTAATGTGATTGACTAAGGTTTTTTCTGTCTCTCTATTGTAGTTAATAAATGCTATACACTATATAGAATCAAAGAATCAGTTGAACTAGTAGAGCGTAACAATGTTAGTAGAACTAGATCCCAGAAATTCACAACAGTTAACTTTGAAATTACTCTCTATTTCTGAAAATGAATATAAATTAAGTTGCATGATAATATAGATTAACTAACTGCAAGTAAGATTCTCACCAATATTTACAAAATAGATCTCTCTATAAAATAAATGGAAAAAATAAATATGTATATAAAATAAATCGCGATTAGTGTTAATTCAAGGAGACAAAACCGCGATTCATCAAGGTTAAAAATCAATCCACGTTGGAGCAAAATTGTATCTGCTATTTGATAAGATATTTCTTGGACACAAATTATTTGCTGACATTTCGATAATTCGAAGATCAGTATAACTTCCAAAAATAATACTTGATAATGTTTCTATAAAATGCCTATAATAATTATAGTAACTTCATATATCTGTAAGTTATTATGTAATGATAATTGCCATAATATTCGTAATCGACACAACCTGATTAGCAATATTTTGTTAACCCATTGGCCTATACTCATCGACCTATTTCGCAAACTTTGTCTCGATCTGATTAACAAACAAATCTCTTCGAAAAATTCAATATATATGTAAATATATATTTTTATAATTTTTAGTACATCCTTGTTTAGTAATTTTTAACAAAAAAAAATTATTTCTTCTAATTGATTCAAAGCAATTCTATTACACGCACAATAAATCATATACTTTAATAAATTTATCGAAATCTTTTAATCGTCTCGATAAAAATTATTTTTATTATCATCTTATTTATTATAAATATTAATTAACAAAATTTTTTCCAACACATCTCTCGATTATATTTATCACACATATTTTTTGTTGAATTATGAATATATATATATATATATATAGAGAGAGAGAGAGAGAGAGAGAGAGAGAGAGAGAGAGTGGGAAAGCTCAATTTCTGAACTAACATCTGTCGTTGTCACGTGCTTCAATAATAAAATCTGTATCCTATACATAGGATGCAAATGTAATATGAATTACAAATCGACGGTTCCATTCACGAGATCAAAGACGTTCCTTTCGCTGTGGGAGCAGACCGTTTCTCTCGTTCTGAGTCTCACGGAAAACATAAGTTGCATGCACATAGAATCGTCCAGGCTTACGTAATCTAATGTTGGTATCCTGACTCTAGTACCTATCATTGCGTCGCACAAGATGTCTTATTTGCGAATAAGATAAATCTTATTTCACACAGTGTTCCATTCAGCTGTATTAATGTTGCGCAACAAAGTTATCATTCTTCCTGATGATTTGATCTTGTGTAATTTTATTCTATCTCGTACTCGTATATTATCATCGTGCGCCATATTATATTATTCCGCAAAAAATACATGTTTATCATTCAATTAGTCGATTATCTCGAAAAATCTATGATAACAGTAATCAGAATATAAGTATACGTATATTTTACTATATATTATACTGAGTCTGTAGTAGAAGATCGAGTTATATAAAACGTTATGTGACAACGGATGAACGGCATAATAGATTATTGAAATGATATAAAACGGAAAGAAATCATTTTTGCTTCAAAGACTGATCGACTAATGCCGGTAATTACGATATTGCAATACAATGGTGTATTACGGTATTGCAGTATTGACCAAACGCGTGTTTAATAATGAAATAAATTATGCATAAGTATATACGAATTACACAAGACCAAATAAAAGATTGAAAATGTTCGTATTAATCAAATAAAATTACGCTCATAATTATCTGGATGCTTATTTTTTTTATTATAGTTTTATAGTTTATTTTTGTGAATTATCGCAAAATGGCGATATAAATTTTATGAGAACTGTCAATAAAAAAATACGTGAATAATTCGTCACCGTTTACTATTATATCTATATAATGCTGATATTGAATATCAAACTATATATACCGTTACTGAAATACGTTTATTTTATGAAAGAGAAGTTTGATTAAATTTTATTCGTATGTTTTTATTTATGTTTATGTTTTTCGCGAAACTTCCACAAAATTCGCATGCATCCTATTAAATTCTCTTCATAAGTGCTATTTTTCCTATATGGCTGTTTTTTATTTATCAAATACAATTCGGACATTCATATCACTACCAAACATGTTTCGAAAAACGCAAGATTTATTCTTTGTTTGAATCAATAATTCAGGTTTTGATTATACTACTATTATACTAATAAAATATTTTATTTCACAAACTACGAACAATAAATAAATTGTAAAATGAATGATATAAAATAAAATGATGAGTTAATTATATTCATTTTATAAAATTTAATACTTCTCTTTCTCTTTATTTATATAAATATTTTTTTGCAAACTTAAAAAATATATTTTCATATAATTAAAAATGTAAAAAATATATTTCATAATTTTAATATATGTACCTAACTCATTTTATATAACTTTTTTCTTTATGATGAATAAAATATGTTCTTAAAATTTGACCATATCATATGTATTTATATACTTATATATAAATACACAGAGGCTTTCACAGAAATAGATGGCCAAACTCTAAGAGCATCTACTCACCCACCCTGAAGATAAAAAAAGTCATAAACGTGAGCTGGAAACTCTTTTTTAAATTATAAACAAAACAAATTATTAAGTTGAAAATATTAATAAAATTACACTTATAACTAGATATATTAAATATATAATTCACTGTACATTGATGTCAAAATAGCAATTATTATGTCTCTTTTATTATTACATTCAGATATTATTTTTAATATATTTTTTATTTTTGCTAAAAATATTCTTGATTTTTTTTGCATTATAACGGATATCAGTTTTATAAGAGAGATCTATTTTTACATAAACACAATGTTTCAATAGACGGATCGTTACGTTATATTTACAATGACTAATCCAATATCTAACGTGATCGTTGCCTGATAACAAACAATCAACTACGACGAGTAGAATCTAATAACGAGTCCCGACCCCGACTGATCTGTCATTCGACACGCGATTAGACGTATATACATAACGATTAGCCACACCTACAAAAATCAACTGCAAGAGATCATCTGCATCGACGTAATCACTGACATACTGACCGTGCGAATTTCTACAGTCCGAATGCGAATGCTTATCACATATGCGGTCACATTTCCGCGACTAGTCGGCTGCTTGGCGAGCTAAATACATACTCGCAATCTCGAATACACGGACAAACGCATACCGACAAATGCAAAACTGATTACCCATTCCATTGATCTGATATCTATTTCCCACGTGTCTCATTCCGCAAACTGGACACTCCACACAACACTTATCTAACTACTCATCAATCTGATTATTGTGTCATTTGACTTGACTCGAGCATTCTTCAACACTAATGCAAATTCCAACACGATATTGTCATATGCAAATTATTCGGATATAATACAATGAAATAAACAAATACAAAATATTCCTATATTTTAGAAAAATAACTTATGTTTCTCTCCCATCGACTGGAAATATAATTATTAGAACGTATGTGTTTAATCAATTGAGGTATATATAGATTTGAAAATAAACGCGCAACACGAATGTTCAATCAAATCTGGAATCAATAAAAAAATTAAGCATTTGCTCTCCTTTTGAATAAACACTGGAACTTATTTGCATATTTAATTTAAAAAATGAAGAAAGAACAAAAAATAAGAAATAAAGAAATTATAATTATGCCCCCTGGAAAAATCCTGCGGACGCTCCTGATGATACCTCATGACAGGTATCTTTATTGCGTTCAGATAAATGCAAATCAAATATGAGAAATCTGAGAGATAATTACAATCTGCCGTTATGACGCAACAATTGTGTCGTGCTCGTTTACGAGTGTCAAGACGCATCACGCGGGAGAAGGACGTAACAGTATATTCTCATTATCTGGTATCGCAATTCGCTTCCTCGTCAAAGCGGAACATGCGTATACAATCAGTATCAGTAAACCGCATACATCATTAACTCTATCGACTCTATATCTCGCGTCCTCACCATAAAATAGAGATTATTTATATTATCAAATTTTTCAGTGATTGCCCAAAGCAATTAAACGAACTGTCAAATATGCGTCAAATATTCCGCAAAATACCGAAGACGTTAAATAATTTACGATCGGAGTATGTACGCCTATATAATTCCCAACCGCAACATCCGAGCACGTCTGCGTTCTCACAATGGATCAATTAACTCCCATACCTTACGAACGTTCCCACTAGCAACGAGATTCATGAAATAACGGCGTCGCGAACGATCGACAGATTAATGCAATTAATGCTCCGTGTAATGGTTACGAGAGGGTCTGCGTGAAGAAGCCAGTGAAAGAGAATCGGTGATTCATCGCGGCATTAGTTACGATAAACGTCGTACGGTAACACTCCAAACGTGTTTCAGTCCGATATGAGTACAGACGGAAGAACGTTTTCCGGGAGAAGATGACCCCACGTCGTCGCGTCTTGGCAGGAGTTCGCCGTGCTATTTTTGCCGCCAGTATCCTGGCACTTATCCTCCTGGCGCTGTCTTGCCAGGATAGCACCAACACCTTGCAGCACGGGAATTCACTGGAGGTGAGTCGCCTCTTATACAAATTTTATCAGTAAATGTTTACAAACCCTATACTACCTCAGTACGAAATACTTGATGCATTTTCAATTGAAGTTTACGCGTGCACCTATGTATGTATATGTGTGTGTGTGTGTATGTGTATATCACGTTACTTCGAATAATTTAAATATTATATAGTTCATAAAATGTTTAAAGGAAACTGAACATTTATCGGTCGTTTAATTGTTTAACATTCGCGTGACATTTTATTCAATGCTTCAGTATAAAATAAATACATAAAATAAATTTAAATTTTTAAATTTGCAAATATTATTTAATATACGATTTTAAACTAAAAATATATGTAAAGGCTCGTTGCAGTTTTTAACAATATAAGGAAATTACTAGGCAATTTACGAGACATACAAATAATATTTTTAATTTATTGCATTAATTAAATGGATTTAATTATAATATAACAACAATAGGCATCGTATATCTAAATTGTGAATTTGCGGTTGCACTGAAGAAGAGCTAGTAAGGTCAAAACGTATACATTGATTTTTATATATCCATTTAATTAATGTAATAAATTAAAAACTAACAACTTTATTTGTATGTCTTTTAAGTTGGCCTAGTAATTTCCTTATACAATTTTAATTTTAATTCCACCGATAATTATTTACTGCGTTTTATTTTTAAACTATTCTTTAAACTTTTATTCTTATCGCAACTTTTTATAAATATTAAATTAAAAAGCAAGAGTTATATATATATATATATATATATACGCATCTGTGGTACAACGGAAATTCGGATTTAAAAATCTGTTTCGAAGAGAAACGCAGAAACAGTTCTGTTTCCTACTAATTCCTGGGAGACCGAAAACGTTTGCTTTACGTAAAGCACGACGACCATAGATTGGCACGCTTCCAGGCGCAATGCGGTACATGGATCAGTGCCCGCCTGATATGGCCGATTTAAGTATCCCAAAAGATAATTAAAGTTATCCCTAATCGTATATAAAAATAATTTTACGAAGTGTCATCGTGACCGAATATGTTGTTGCAAGATAAATCATTTAATATCAAACAAATTAACGATTAATTTCTTTAAAAAGAAATACATTGTTAAAATGTAAATTATTTTTCATTTAGCATGACTGTATGATCCAGAAATTACGTTCATTTGTTATCATGAAAGTATTTTTACGAAATAATGGGCGCAATTTTTCTTCGATAATGATACCTCAAATGGCTCACCGCAGAAAAAGAAGAAATATATGAAATAGAGCAAAAAGCATTATATTTCAATATAGATCATGAAGATAGTCCGATTTAGATAATATATGACGTCGAAAAGGTTTCTACGTGTCGAAGTATTTGTATGATAAATTCTAGTCATCATTCATGACATTCCTTATTTTTACTATAATCAAAGACGATGAGATGAAAAAAGTTTCCGTTAAAAAAATTAATTATAAGACAATAGCAAAATCGCGAGACACAGTTAGAAACTTTTATCGCGGCGGATAAAAACTTTGTCCTTTGTAAAAACGACGTATCTTCATTAACAAAGCTACTTGCGGAATAATGAAAGGCTGGCTATAAGATAAATGTAAGCTAAGAGAATAACGTTCCACATTTATAAATAAAAGAAAATTGCAAGTAATTGTAAAGCACATTAAAAATTGAACTATAATAATGAAAATTAATTAAAACCTTCAGTTAATTAAAAAAAAAGAATTAAAGAGCAAACATTTATCCCCAGTGAAATAAAAATGATCTTTCAAATCAAAAACGATAACTATTCACGAGAGAATCGACATAAATAAAATTTATCATCAATGATAAGTATCTGTGACTACTCATGATTACTATACAGAGAGAATTTTCTTTTAGAATTTACCTTAAAAATTATGGTAATCGTGGGACAATATAGTACCTACTCTTTCTCTCTCTCTCTCTCTCTGGAAGAATTTTATAAGAGTTTCTTTGATTAAATATTTACCACAATAAAAACATTAAAAAATATGTGTACATAGTAAAATTAATCGAATATATTTTATCTTACTGTGCAAATATTAATACTTTTATTGTGGTATAAATATTAATCAGAGAAACTCTAATAAAATTCTTCCAATATCACATTGTCTCGTGATTACCATTTTCAGGATAAATTCTAAGAGAAAATGTGCAATATTAAAACGAAAAAAATGTGCTTTTTAAAAGAGACATGTATATTCGCAAGAGTATACATGTTTTATAAAATCTTTATTTTTCTTCATCAACGCAGTTTGAAGCAGTACTATAGTTGCAACAGGCGAACACCTACTTGCACTTCAAAAAGTTATCTGAATCATCAATCTTGTTGTTAGTCGGCGGACACAACAAGATTCCTGCTTAACGTAAATAAATACGGAGACATGGATATACGGGAAAATAACGGATACAGGTTCTAAAGCCTTGTCTTGCCGATAGCACGTGCATGCACGATGCGCCAGTACATAAACGTGCGCGATGCGCCACCACCCTTCGTGGCCCACATTCGTCGCTGCACAAGGCGCGTTCTACATCGAAATCAATAAGCGAAAGCCGCCGGTAGTTCTGTATTAGGTCTTAGCTCTCCAGCTCGCTGCGCATTCATGTGATTTTTTCTACATTACACCATCCCGAACGAATTACGATTCGCAAAAATAAAGAGAGAAAAATATTCGTCAAGTTATTATTTTCAGTGCAAATGCAATTGATTTGCATTGCACTGAAAAAAAAAACTTATTGGCTTGACCAAATCTTTAATTGCATATTAATTAAACATATAAAAATATTTAAATTAAATCTAACAAAAAGTATATTTGACTTAAATATTAATATATGTTCAATTAACAAAATAGTAATTTAGTTGAAAGATTTAGTCAAATTATAATAATTCTTTTTTTCCGTGTGCACTCTTCGCATTTGAAGAAACCTCTCAATTTTCGAGAATTAAAAATCGATTTTATTTTACAGTTATTGAAATATTAATCTATAAAAAATATTGTTTGTGATAAAAAAAATAATGCCCTATATTTTCTGCAGAAGTTTTATAATCCGATTGAGGTAAAGTTGCAAGGTACAGTTCTCATGCTGTGACAAAAATAACGCAATTTAAAGAATTTAATTTCATTCTCGTGCCATCTTGGGAGCCAATTTCCCGAAAATTGCGGATGATTCATGAGATCGTAGAAACATGCCGTCTTATTTGCGACGCAGACTCATGCGACAATAAGGTGTGTGTCTCAAGATAGTAAATTGCCCCTTGCAATCTTCGCAGCATGCGGTGTGTGCTTCTTACTGCTTGTAATGATGTCTCTCGTTTAAATACCCGAAGTAGCACGATAATAGTACTTAAGGTATATTAGCATAGGAATAATTGATTAAGAAAATAAAAAATCATAATGCAATTTTAACTGAATACTGTCTTGTTAAATCTAAGGAAAAAGGCACGCTTGCAGGTAACGTAAATGATGAATTAAAGATGTACATATTTATAAAATCGCGTGACTTATGTAATGTACATGCAAATGATGCCGTGAAGACTCGTCAATTCTACATTCGTGCATTCGGTGTGCAATGTATAGCAAGTACTCAGTAAGGTATAGATTACTATTATGTGTTTTTAAATTAATTGTAGAAATTAGGAAATTAGATTAACCTTGCGTGTTACGAAGAAGGTTAATGTATACGTGTTACAGTCTTGAAAGCTTTTCTGTTACATTCGATGCGCGATATATATATCGAACTCTCTATCCTTTCGCATATCAGTTACAATTATTCTACCATTATAATTATCCCATAATTACTTGTTTTATCGGTCTCGTTACCTCATAATTATTCATAGTTATAATCGAGCGTTATTAATCCGATGTCAAGAAATAATTGTTCATATTTCTTGTACTTGCACTATTATTGTAAAACATAACGTTTTTGTATATCTATTTTTCTGTAATATAGATAACGTAATGACTTCAATATTAAACGCAAACACATTTATATTGATCGTATAAGTATATTATATAGATCAACAAAAGTGCAATAATGATTTTTACATTGTCATGCAGACAATTGATATCTCTTGTATTTCCGTCATTTGGTGAAGATTATATAAAAACTGCGCGACATAATTGAGCAAATAATCCTCGACACGTTTTTGTACCTTACGTCATGTACACACATCGTAACTCTTACGTCAGTGTCCAATTCATAATTCAGTGTATGTAGCGTCGGCTCATTTCATAGGTCTCATTGGAATAATTTCTGGTATATCTAACCGCACTAACTATCACAAATTTAGATCAAGTTGACGACAAGTGGACAAAATGATAACATTAAACCCGATGCTTCGTAATTCTAAAGTATTAATAGCTCATATGACAAATAAATGTATCGATGAAAAATTCGCTGAAAAAATATCGAGATGACAAAACGTGTCACGCCTACAACTTATATTGAAAAAAAATATATATTTTTTCCATAAATTAATTTTCTCTTCTAAATCAAAACTTTTATTTTTATTTTGACAGGACGCGAATCTGACACCGGAAGAAAAAATATTGGAGCAGATCACTGCGGCGGAAACCGAACAACGTTTAATAGCTAGACGGAAATTTCTGGCGGAAAGATGCGCCGAGGAAGGGCTCGATCGTTCTGGTAACGATTCACTTCACAAGCCGAACGCTTGGGAATTTCTTGTAAATAGAGAATACCATCTTATATGGTGTAACGTTTTCAAAGCAGCGTCCACGTCATGGATGTATAACTTTAACTTACTTGCGGGGTAAGTCACGCACAGGACTATATTACATTCATTACTAAAGTTCTTCATCGATGAAAAGAATACAAATAAATTCATACACGCGTAACTTTTCCATTACAGAAAATTGCAAAATAATATAAATATATTATAAATATTTTATTATTATATAAATAATAATGAATTTAAAACATAAATAATAATTTAAAAATATTATATTATTTATATTTAATAAATTATTATTTATATAATAATTAGTTATGAGATAATAAATATATATATATATATGTGTGTATAATAAATATTTAAGTATGACATAGAGAGAATTTTCTCTTAAAATTTACCCTGAAAATCATCGTAATTGTACAAGACAATATGGTATTGGAAAAATTTTATAAATAAAGTTTCTTTGATTAATATTTATCACAATAAGATATAAAATATGTTCGATTAATTTACTACGTACATAGTAAAATTTACTATGTACTTATTAATATTTTTTATTATAGTAAATATTTAATCAGAGAAATTCTTATAAAATTCCTCCAATACCATATTGTCCTACGATTTTCAAGATAAATTCTAAGAGAAAAATTCTCTGTGTATAATTATTTCAAACTTGTATTAAATTTTCTATCTATTGACGGTTTTTTAAAATGTCGATCGATGTACTGAATAAAGAAGTTAGTAATGGTTAATTTCGCGAGTAATCATTATTGGGTTACTATTACAGATATAGCCCGCAATTCCTGAAGGCCTCCAAGGCGGTGCCAGTTTCGCTGGCCAGACAAAGATATCCTAGACACACTGCGGAAGAGCTAGTTAAATTTTTAAACGACAGCATCAGTTTTTTGATAGTGCGGCATCCATTCGAAAGATTACTTAGTGCTTACAGGGACAAATTGGAGCACAGTCTGCCGCACACGTTTCATAGTAATCTCGGTGCACACATAGTTTGGCACTACAGAGCAAGGGTAACATTATTTGATAATTTTTAAGAGCGATTCAGAATCATGCACTGAAAAAAAATTTGTCAACTTGATTAAATCGTTCAACTAAATTACTATTTTATTAATTCAACATATATTAGTATTTAAGTCAAATATACACATGTTTTGTTAAATTCAATATGTTATATTGAATTAAAATATTTCTATATGTTCAGTTAACAAAATAATATTTAGTTGAACGATTTAGTTAAGTTAACAAATTTTTTTCAATGTAAATATAGAAATAATTCGCAACAAAATTGTAAAGAAATTAGAATACAAAATGTGTTATCATTCAAAAAATAGATTTTTAAGATTTTAATCAGCTCAATTGCCTCATTATAAATTCGCACACTGAAAAAAATTTGTTAAATTAACTAAACCTTTTAACTAAATATTATTTTGTTAATTAAACATGGAAAAATATTTAAATTAAATGTAACATATTAAATCTAACAAAACTTATATTTGACTTAAATACTAATATATTCAATTAACAAAATAGTAATTAAGTTGAAAAATTTAGTCTAGTTAACAAATTTTTTTTCAATGCACTATATTTATCGACAATTAAAATTTGATGAAAATCATATTAATGTCAAGCAAAGAATTATAAAATTGCTTTCTACAAAATACAGGATCCGAAGACGAATACAAGGCAAGGGCCGAGATATCCGCTCTTCGAAGAATTCGTGCGATGGTTATTATGTCAGTGGAGAGCGGGGAACGATCTTGACATGCATTGGACGCCAGTTGTAAATTTTTGTACACCCTGCCAAGTGCGATTCGATATAATAGCTAAATTTGAGACTCTACATGTAAGTGAATTCAATCACTAATGAGAGTCGAAATAATGAAGAAATAAGCAATTTCCGTTCGTTTAGATAGAAAAAATTAACGAAATATATATTTTATTTTGTTTAATACATTTTATCTTCGAATAAGAAAACGAATTTGAAGATAAAATGTATAAAATAAAATAAAATGAAAAAATTAACGAAATATTATATTTTATTTCATTTAATACATTTAATCTTCAATTTTAAGAAAACTTTTATTTGAAGAATATAATATGTATAAAATAAGATAGAATATATATTTCATTTTTTGCGAATTATTTAAAAATTATGTCTTTCTTGTTAAAGGAGGATCAAGATTATCTTATAAAGCAAGCTCACGTGGGACACATAATTAAACCTGAATGGAAAAATCCAACCAGAGGTGTCCAAACGAAAGATGTTATAAAAAATTATTTTACGCAATTATCTAAAACGCAAATCGATGAGCTCTACGAGATGTTCAGGTATGTTACAGGAAATAGTGGAATATACATATGTTCGTTATTTTTTATCTGATAAAAAATGCATATTATACATATGACATCGTAAAACATAAAATTACCTTACCTTATTTCATGTTTCTTTCATATATTATAGGTATGACTTTGTATTGTTTGACTACTCACCTGAAGAGTATCTAGCTTTCGGAAGAGACGAAATCACTACATTGATATGTAAGTGATATGACATTTCATCCACATGCTTAATACATGTGCGCGAATGCATCTCTAATTTGAAAAAGTTCTATATTGAACTACATACAACGAAGCTGTAGATAGTATTTAAATAACATTTGGAAGGAAAGGAAGCTATGATGTGTATATAGTAACATTCATGCCGTCGATGCATTTCTTACATAGGACTTAAAAAAAATAAAATAAAATAAAATAATACTTAATATATGTCCTGATTTTATAACTTATATGTAAAAAACTGCGTTGTCGCATTAAATGAATTTTGATAGCGAGCATATGTTAAAGTTTATCAAACTGTTGTACCAACTGTTTTGAAAAATAGAACACAATGGTGACTTGATAAACAATAATAAAAATGTCTTGCAAATGTGAATGATGTATAATGTAAAATTCGTTATTTGTATAGTTAAATTATTAAGAGAGCTAAATTTTTAAAAAATTTACAGTTCTCAGATCTGAAAACTTGATCGCTACTCAATCATTCAAAAAATTTGCACATTTCTCAATTATCTTATGTTTTAATGAATAGATTGAGAGTATTTTACGAGTATATAAAATTACTATTAATTATTTAATTAATAGATTGAGAGTATTTTACGAGTATTAAAATCTTTAAATAGGAGTGCGATAAAATTGATCTGAGAGAAAAGTCTAGATAGATTTTAAAAATTCTAGGATGTGACAGAATTGGAAAGAATTTGTGATAGTTCCAGTTTCGCATAATGCAATAAAAATATTTAACTACGCTATTGAGTTGTTCCTAACAACCGCACAATAATCTTTGTATACGCATGATTACAATATAGTTACCACCACTGTAACAATAGTAACGGTACCACTATAACAATAGTAATAGTATTGCCTCAAGGAAACATGGTGCAAAATGTTAAAATAATTACCTTATCATGTTATATACATCACTTTAAGAAATGCAGACATTTTGTAGAATTAAATAATTCCAAAAAATTATAAAATGTATATTTCCAAATTAAAAAATCTTAAATTGATTTAAAAAACCAGCATATTTGCTTGCTGCATACATTTTGCTATAGTAGAAATTGATTGAAATAATTGGATATTTACTATACTTGAGTCCCACATGAAATATCTACATATATAATTGCAAAATTAAGTTATCAAATTGGATAATGCAAAAATATCTTATTATCTACTACAAATTTCTATAAGAGTAAAACATATTGTTGAATAAAGAAGATTTGTACGATATATATTATGTGCGGTGTACAATTTTGCACTTTATTATCTCCTATCTCTTTGCACACCTATGTATATCTATATTTATAGATATATAAATTTTCTATTTTTATATGTTTCTCTTTTTGTTTCCTTTTCCTTGTAGAAGGCAGAAGAAATTACATCAGATACAATAATTATCAAATGACTCACCAACACGATGCATTCTGCAACTCTACTCCAATAATCCACTTATTCTGAAGAATACATTGCCATTGTGACACTATTTCCACAAATCTTTCTGCATTATTGGTTCTACGTTGTCCTTTCTTCTTCAAGATAGGTTGTCCTTCGACAGTGTACAACTGTAAAATTAAGACAATTAAGTATACATATACCAAAGAGACTATTATATTAAATGCAGAGATATATTAAAGATACAGCAGAATTAATCTTCAATCATTTGTGTATAATAGAATTTGATAAGAACAAAATACAAGATTTTTTTCATATAAGACTTCAATTTCTTATTAAGAGAAAAGAAGTATGAAGAAAAGAAAGTGCTTTAGACCGAGATACAAGTTAAACATCGTATCAAACATGCATGCATCGGAAAAAAATAAAAGATAAAAAATAAAATGCTTACGTCACAATCGGAATCCGAACTGATATCCTCTCCATAAAGCGCGCGTCGCTGCTGAGTTTTCAAAATATGCTCAGTGGCGGTTCTCATCTCCGCGATCTCGCTCGTCGTGACATCGATACTGTTCTGGACAACGGCGAGCTGCTTCAGCAGATGCTCTCGACGGGATTCGGCGGCGCGACTCGGCTCGGCAGCGACATTTCCTCGTCGCTGATAGTGGCGAACATGTCCTCGTCGTCGGACATGTCCATCGTTATCACGTCGCGTGCCTCTCGTTCCCAATCTTAACTTGTCATGCACACGTTATCCTTGCTCCAGCCCGCGGTCAACCAACATGTCGTCCAGGAATATCGCCTCCAGAAAGAGATCTACCCGCGAAGTCCCGAGAAAATCACGAGGACATGTGAGCTGCACGCGCGAATCAAGCGGCGGGCTCGCCATTGCGAAAATTTTCAAACGCATACAAAGTTCGCGCAGTGCAGCCAACGTAAAGCAGTCAAACATCAGGCAGGCACGTTTATAATATATATATGAAAAGGTAAATCATTTTTTTAATTTAGCATGTTACGTTATTTTTTATCGTGAAAGTATTTTTACGAAATAATATGGGCACAAGTTTTTTTCGATAATGATACGTCAAATGTCAAATGTCAAATGGACTCACCGCAGAAAAAAAGAAGCATTATAAAATCATAGATATATTAAATACATATAATATATATATATATATTATATTAGTGTGTGTATATATAATTACCTATTATCATTTTTTTAAATTTAGCATATTACGTTATTTTTTATCGTGAAAGTATTTTTACGAAATAATATGGGCACAAGTTTTTTTTCGATAATGATACACGTCAAATGTCAAATGTCAAATGGACTCACCACAGAAAAAAGAAGCATTATAAAATCATAGATATATTAAATACATATATAATATATATATATATTATATTAGTGTGTGTATATATAATATACCTATTATAATATATAATAATATAATAGTTATACTAAAGTTACCTTTGATTCCCGCGCTCGGTAAAGTCGAGGCTCTTGAATTATCAGCTGGACTCCAGCTGATTATCGCGACAGTTCCTCGGCGTTTTATTGCGCGAATCTTGGCGATATAGTACACTTGTCAGGACGGCGCGTCGGAAATGCAAAATGTCGCCAGTTGCTTCCCTAGCAACCCGTCCGTACGTCCGTCCGTCCGTCCGTCGTAAATAACGTAATAAACGTGCGGTGCGGTCGGACATGGCTGGTTGAACGTTGGTGAAAACCGTACCTGTCTGTCTGTCGCAACTGCGTCGCGGATCCACCGATGATCACGTCGGACGGCGCGACGGCGTGAAAATGGCGGTGTGAAAAAATGGCAGGTCGCAGATCGACGCTGACGGCGAATGCGGTGGACTCGCTGCCGGGATCGGGTGGCGGAGATCCGCTGCGCGAGCTCTTCGAGGCCTGCAAGACCGGCGATCTCGCCAAGGTGAAGGCGTTGGTCAACCCGAAGACGGTCAACGCCCGCGACACCGCTGGACGCAAGTCCACCCCCCTGCACTTTGCAGCTGGTGAGTACTCGTCCGGAGCTTTTCCGTTCTTGGTATTTCGTTTCTCCCGCGGAGAATATCAAGGTTTTTGTAAACACGTGGATTTTTTGCGATAATCGAGGAAGGTTAATCGGCCAGCGTCACGTCCCAGCTGATCGCAGCCTGTTTTCAACGGAATTGTTAAATTGCAACGATATTTCTTATACCGTTGATCGAAATTTATTATTAACGGTATAAATTTATTTACTTTTTAAGTTCATTTTTTTTAATTCTTTAAATTTGTTTTTTATTTTTTGTGTTTGTAACTTGCAATATTTCGAAGATCATTTTACATAAATAAACTTCAAATCAAATTGATGGAAAGACAGATAATCTAAAGAAGAAAAATGAATAATAAAACATTGCATGTTAAATTTTTCTTTAAAGAGATATAAAAATTCTTGCATAAGAATATGAAATTTTTTAATAAAAAAAGTTTGACAAGAGCGATAGATTCTGATATGATTTAGTTAAAGATATATATAAATTATTTAAATTTAAAACTTTGATATCTATTTAATATCTATTTTATGTCACTTATATGATCATATTTTATGCATTTTATTCAATTATAATACCATTATATTAATTGTTATAAATTTTATTGTAAATGTCAAACTTCCCTGTATATATAATGTATTAATAACTATTCTAATATATATATATATATATATATATATAATATAATAAATTTTATATACAATATATATTACATGAAATTTAAAAATTTTTGTTTAATTTTAAAATTTAGGATATGGGCGAAAGGATGTTGTAGAATTTCTCCTATCTGCTGGTGCATCGATTCAAGCACGTGACGATGGTGGTTTACATCCATTACACAATGCATGTTCCTTTGGACATTGCGACGTCGTGAGATTACTTTTAGAAGCAGGAGCAAGTCCAAATACAAGGGATAATTGGAATTTCACGCCTTTACATGAGGCAGCGATTAAGGTGCTTATTTTGTAACAAGAAAAATTACTTATTAACGTGATTTTTTTGTCATGCGTAATAAGAATCGAAGATGGAAATGGTGTCTAACTTTTTCATCTTCATTTGTACTTGACAGGGTAAAATAGACGTATGTATTACTCTGCTACAGCATGGTGCAGATGTAAACATTAGGAATACAGAAGGAAAGACTGCATTAGAGGTAGCTGATGCTTCTACTAAATCAGTACTAACAGGAGAATATAGAAAAGACGAGCTCTTAGAAGCTGCTAGATCCGGAAACGAGGAACGATTGTTACAGCTGCTAAATCCTCTTAATGTCAATTGTCACGCCAGTGACGGTAGAAGATCTACACCTTTGCATTTGGCAGCTGGATACAATAGATCTAGAGTTGTACAGATCCTTCTTCAGAACGGTGCAGATGTGCATGCCAAGGATAAAGGGTTAGTATATGTGCCAACACCCAACTTACATATTTACATCTCAATGAGTATAATCTTCAAAAAATTATTCTTTACTATATCTTATTTATATGCTAATTATTTTTTATTTCAGTTTTGTTTATCATAGTTTTTTATTCAAGCCATGTGTCGAAATCGAATTAAAATCTATTGAAATTCTAATCCTTAATTCTTTTACAGAGGTCTCGTACCACTTCATAATGCCTGTTCATATGGCCACTTTGAAGTGACTGAGGCACTTTTGAAGCACGGCGCTGCTGTCAATGCCAGTGATCTCTGGACATTTACTCCGTTGCACGAAGCCGCGAGTAAATCCAGAGCAGAGGTTTGTTCCTTATTGTTGAGCGAAGGTGCGGATCCAACGCAATTAAACTGCCATAGTAAGAGCGCTATCGACGTAGCACCGACACTCGAATTACAAGAAAGATTAGCTTGTGAGTTTTAAAGCGAATTTATTATACTTTCTATTGTTATATTTGTGAACATAATTTTACATATTTTATAATTGGTGTACGTTTAATACTTATTACTTTCAGACGAGTATAAAGGTCACTGCCTATTAGACGCCTGCAGGCAGGCAGATCTTACGAAACTAAAAAAATATCTATCCCAAGAAATCGTCAATTTCAAGCACCCTTATACCGGGGATACACCGATGCATTGTGCAGTGGCGTCACCTTATCCGAAGCGAAAGCAAGTTATCGAGACCTTGATGCGAAAAAATGCTGCCATGAATGAAAAAAATAAAGACTTTCTTACGCCGCTTCACGTAGCGACTGATCATTCGCATTACGACGCGATGGATATATTACTTCGACATAATGCGAAGGTCAACGCGCTGGACGGCTTAGGACAAACCGCGTTGCACAGGTATCTTTGTTCTGGAAAATCACTGTTTTCATCTCGCTTCTATAGAAAGAAATACTTTAGTTTCAATCACATTAGTTCATAAATCATTAATTATTTTCTTACTAGGTGTGCTAGAGAGGATAACGTACAGGCTTGCAGAATACTCTTATCATACAATGTCGAC